AAATTCTATAGATGGGGGGGGGGGGCTGCAACTGAGAAGAAAATTTCATTCGTCCGTGCATGGTGTAAGAATACTGCGGAAGAACGCGTCTGTCTCCATGCACACACAGGAAATAGGTATACGGTATACAGAGGAAAAGATACAGTCTACATGTAAGTAAGTACGCATAATGCTGCTGCAGTGCACAAAACGTTGACGGGCCCGTCTATATCTATATAGCCATCATCATCTCGGCCATCACCATCACGGCAAACAAAACGAACGAACAAACGAGAGATCAGACACATTCCGTCTCTTTTTCGAAGGTACCTCGCATCACGTGTGGAGATGAGGGGGAGCAGTGCATGGAAGCCCGCGAATCTAAGTACACGGCATCGATTCGGCCGATCTCGTTTTCCACGGAAAATCGCAAATAGCGGCGGGTAACAAGATTTATTTCTAGGATGCGCAGGATTTACATAAGCGAACTAACGTCGCGTAATAAAAAGACAACATAAATTCCCTTCGACGCGACTAGTGTCGTTTCTTTTTTTTTTTTCGATTTGCCTTGTAGGACGTAAATATAATATATATAACACGAGGTAATGGTGTGTAACTCAACACGAGCTAATTAACGTCACGGGCCGTATAATACTGTTTTTCGTGGATATACATCACAAGTATATAATTTGCATGGTCATTCGTGTCTAACTCCCTCTCGCCATATAATATATACACGGAGTCCCTCGACTACGTATGGCATTGTTTTGACATAATTTTTTTTTTTTTTTTTTGGTGAGGGGGAGGTGAATGCCCGTGATAATGGATGCTTGCGTTGGTAAACTTGGAACGACAGCATCTCGGAGTCTCGGCAATTTTTGTAGTTATGATAGTGTTCAAGTCCCTGAGAGTATGATTCGGGAAAAGTAACACATTCGAAATAACTCGTCGTTTTGTGCATGCATTAAACTTAATTATTATACGTGCTAGATGTTACAAGTTCAAGAAAAATACATATTTCTGTTAGACTCTAAAAAACACATCGTTCTGACCATGATTGAAAAATTGTATTGATGACATTTTGAGTTAAAAAAGGTAAAACCATAACAAAAGACACTCGACTGTAAACATCCAACAATTTTTTTTTCATCAAGTGTTCCTGATTACAGAGTACAACAAATCACGCGTCATAAAAAGTAAGAGTAATCATCATCCTATAATTCGTGTGATTAACCGGATAAACATTTTACTTTTCAAAATATTTTAAAATCTCGTATTTGTAATTTGTGTATGAAAAAACATTAAACAAGCCTCGAAACTAGCTATGATGAAAAAAAAAAATTATTTCGTTTTACCGTTTGAATTTATTTCATCTTTTTTTTCAAAGATAATAACTCAATAGCTTTTTAATCAAAGTTATTAGAATAGGTAAATTTTCAAGTCAACAAACAGTAAGTTCTTGTCAGATACATTCAAGTCAGAATAAAATTTTACTCTAGGACAGCAAGTAGTATCAGCAGTACATACAAAATAAGAAAAATTTAACGACACTGCAGTGCATTTGCAGTGGTACGTTTCTTTCGTACATACATGCAAAAACACATTCAAAAGCTAAAAAAAGAATTCACAATAGCAAAAGGAATTAAAAAAGCATCAGAGACGCGTGACGAATGATGATTCATCAGTGCCACGAAAACAAAAAGGACCTTTTAAATCTAGTCTATAATGAATAGCTTCCTGTCGAGGGCAAATTTAATGCACGCGTGCATGTCTAGGTACCCATATCTCGAATACGACGACTACGACGACGACGACGATGAAAGAGAAAAAAAAGAGCTGTTTCCTTTTAAAGCTATGTATACATCCACGGAACCTCGGCTACGTGCCGAGAATGCATCATATACTTAACGCGCGGTCCTTTTGTCTTTTATTGTAAAAATAATTCCAAGTCCATACACCTCTCATGTATTGAACAGCTACAGTATATGTAGTATTTTAAAAGGACAGTATCAGCACGTCGACTGTAGGATTATTATACACCTACTTTTACAAGACACAAGCAGACAATTGAAAATACTCATTTTATTAGTTGAGTTTGTCGATCGTTATCAACAGAAAAAAAGGTAACCTTGGAAGTGCAACTTTAGTCCCAAGATTTTATTTTTTACACGAGTAAACATTCAAAGGGTGTGATTTTAGATATTGGGACAACATTATTAAAGTTACTTTTTTCATGCAGTTGTGGTGTAACGAAACATTTTGTTCCAACCAGAAAATGTTAAGATCTCAACTTCTAATGGCTAAAAATAAAAAGTAGCCATCAAATCAAAGTATAAAAGTGTGTAAATTCGTATTGACAACAAAAAGTTTGTCTGTTGATAAATGATTCAAGATACACGTACCTTGAAAACCTCAGAGAAAAAGCCAGCACCAATTTTCTCAAGGTAAAAGTCATCCAGTCGATGCAAGGATGCCACCGCATGCTTGAGAGCTTGACAAGATGCTCCAGTGCGCCTCTTATCCTGCATGTACTCCCCCCCTGAATAAGAGTTTAGTCCTGTAAGGGCACTATCGAGTTCAGTAGGCCTCCATGGATCAATGCACTTTTCACGATCTTTGTAACTCCTTGGAGTTGATTGCAACTCTGTGGGCAGATTTTCTTTGTCATCGTACTTAACATTCTTTAACACTGACGATGACACTGTAGAATCTTGAGTACAGTTCATAGTCATCTCAGACTTTTGTATTTTTTTCAGAGACTCTGTTCTAGACTCTATCAATGGTGCTGAATCCACTTTGTCCGTATTTGCGTTATTGCAATTGATCTTTCTACTTTGATCCTTGGTAGAAATTTGGTTGAAACTGACAACTCGGAAGTCTTTGGATTGTGACTTGTTAGCACTTATCACTGTGTCCTGTGAATGACTGGTGACCAAGTCATCACTAGCAGAGTTTTTATGGGATTCGGAAGCACAATTACTGGAAGAAGTTCGTGAGGCACCAGGAGGACATACAGGGCTGGAGGAACACTTTAATACAGGGAAGCCTAAGCCAGCGGGTGGGTTGAGTAAGCTTCTACGTCGCTGAATTTCTTTGGAAGTACTGTTAGCCACCTTAGTCCGGCAAGATCTCAAAGTCTCTGCTGGCTGTCCATCACTACTTTCGAGTGCCTCTAAAGTGCTACTTTGGCTGTCGTCCTTGGTCCTGGAAGAAAAACTTTTCTCTTCCACCTTAGCTGTTGGACAAGGTGAACAGTCCGATCCAATTGAGTTGATAACAGAGTTTGATGGAGGAGCAGGATCTAGTGCATGCTTGTTGGTGTTGTTTGTAGCTGGCACTTTCCCAAACATCTTAGCTGAGCTATGTATCTTCATTCACTGGCACTCTCTGGACTAGTAGCAGCCTTGGCATCTCAATATCTGTCGTTGAATGTTAGTCAGCCTGTGGGATTGGCATGTTCCAGCTACTTTTCGAGTAACGATGAAATTTCCGATTATTATAAGGTACAATAGTTGGAAGAACCAAGAAAAAAATAAATAGCAAACGTCGAAAAACCAACGCACCAAAACATACGCACACGATTGGCACCCAAGTTTATAATTATTATTACTTTCCTACTGAGTAGTAGGTATCAAAGTTCATGGAACAGCATCTTTTTAGCTGCTAGAATATACAACACTAGCCCGTAAAAGCGAACGTACTTTATACCTAGATACGGCCATCGCCTCGGTCAGCCTCACATCAACATAAGTATTCATCTACATTATCACCACATCCATCACATTACGTTCTTGAAAAACTGTAAACTGCAGATGGGTTAAGTAATCGGCTGGAGAGAAATGTGTATTATTCTAGAGGGATACCTAGGCGGGTGAGTAAAATCAACGCCTGTTCCACGACCGCGACGATGAAAACGTTACACTTGCGGATTCGCTAAAAAAAATGCACAGTGTAAGTACAACAACGACGACGACGACGAACCTCGTCAGCGCGAAACGAAACCAAGTGCAGCGATGAAACACACACGATCGAGAATAAGAAGCGGAGCACCGTTGATAAATAAATACACTAAACCACGATCAACAACAATTCGGCGACATGTTGCGATGCTGATGCACTGCAAGTCACTGAGTATATATGTATATCAGAGGGCGACGGTTAGACGGTAAAGAAGGGTAGGTACTAACACATACGCACAATTCTTGGCTGATTCCGAATAAGTAGTATAGGTAAGTACTCCGATGAATTCCAAATTCTTAGTAATAGAGCGAGCTGAGCGAGAGGCACGATACACACACACGCAAACGCGCGCCAGAAACTACAAAGTAAATACCTATACTTACTAAGTAAAATTCGAGCGACCGACGACGGTGACACGACACTCTATCTCTCCAATTCTCCGCATCGGATGGTGGTGGTGCTGCTGAGCTCAAGTCATATTCAATATTCAAATTCAAAGTAGTACGAAAAATTCAATTTGCCCGAATTCTAATGCGATAAGTTCAAATAAGTTATTAAAATTGAAAAATTCTAAAATCTTGGATGTCTTGATGTCAGCGTCAGTTTGATTTGAAAAATAAGCTGCATTATCTGGATTTTGATTTTGCTCAAATTAAAAAACAAAACGCACTGACCTAACAACTGACGGTAACTTTTAATAAATCCATAATATAGTTTACCAAGTTATTAAAATAGTTAAAAATTGAAACATAAATATGTTAACATGGAACACATTAATAAAAGCCAGTCAGCATATAGCATAAAATATAGGCGTATACGTATAGTCAAGCATTGCAAACAAAATAACATTAAAAGAAAACAACAACAAATATTATTAAAAATCAGTGTACGGGAGTACGGATGTTATTCATCAACAGTAAAAAGTAGAAAATTAGATACCTTTGCCAATGACGACACAGAAAAGAAAAAAAAGGTTTATTGCTGTTTCATTCAAAATTAAAATCAAGATAACAAATTAAAAACTTTATTTTATTTTTCTAGATTTTGTAAAAAAATAGTAATTAATGTACATTAATTTTAGACACAAATCTGTGTTTAATTCTTGCATTTTTGTCATATTCCTGAGCTTTATTGTACAATAAAACTCCTGCTATAACCAATAACGTTCCTAATGCAGAAAGATTAGTTACTGGATTGTTGAATAAAAATATCGACAGCCATATCAAAAACGCTCTTTTTCCAGTGTTGGCAACACTAAAAAAATAAATAGATATTTACATTCACAGTTCATAGCTTTAAAGTGGATAACGCAATCTTTGAGTATGATTATTAAATGCGATTCTGCGCTTATTATTCAAGTACCAAACTTTAATATACATATCTTGAAACATACATGAACAAAATAGAAACCAAAGCCATTTTTTAAAAAAGGTAAATATAATACCTGTGAGTTACTGGACTTATGTAATCCATAAGTACGTAGGCAGTGATACTTTGAAAGTGAAAAAATATACCATTAAGCGCAAATGTTGAGAGTAAATGTGAATCAAAGGAATGCTGTAGAGTTGGAAGATCCACTAATAAGATTGACACTGGTATTTGGACCACAACTGATGCAAGACTTGTATAAAATTGTAGTTCTGCAGGTCTGAAATTCGGAAAAAAAAAATTTATTTTTCATATTTTTAGTATGCAAACTTTGGCAATAATTGTATAAAACGTAAATCAAACTAACGAGTATTTGAAACCATCACCACTTATCAGCATTTTCGAATAAACGTTTTGTAAGCATTCAGTCAAGTTTGTAGCCATTGCAGCCACAAAGCCCCTCAAGTCAAAACTGATTTCATTTGCTGAGCAAAGAGCTAGACCTCCCATGACAGGAATTAATGACAAATTAACATATAAGCCTGTATATTCACCTAATAACAAGTGTGTGCTTGAAATTGCAGAAATCATAACATTACAATTAAAGTTCAATCAAGTATGCAAGTAAATACCTAGTAAATATTTACTGATGAAAACGGTGAAAAGAGGGGCACTACTTTTAATTGTTTCGGTGAAACTGACTGCAACATAGTTTAACGATACCAATCCTAAAACTACTGTCATAAATCTTGTGCATCCAACTAACATCATATGCTTGTAAAATCCAGCAGGCTTAACTAAACGAGGGCTTGCTTTAAACATACCGCAAGGAAAATACATTTGAAAAAGGCCACAAACTGTTGTCATCAACATTTGGCTAGCACCTAAAAGCAACATTGTTTCAGCAATTTCATTTTAACAACAGTGATGATTTTATTCTTAAAAAATCTTTTTACCTAATATTGTTGGATTGCCCTCCATGTAAGATAATATGTACTTGTTGAGAAAAAGAGTGCACCCACTAAAAATGTACCATAATATTAAAAATAATATTGCACGAGAGCTAGCCAAGCCAGATTTGGAATCACTTGTGTTTATAACTGTTGCATCTTTCTTTCTACTTCTGTCATCCATGTGGAGTGTCGTTGGATTTGAAGAAATCAATGGCATTAATAAGTCATCAGAGTCGAGAGACATTTGCATGTAATGAGAAGAGTGACTTTCCATTACAGTTCTTCTACACCATTTGTTTAACAGCGTGGGTGTTTTTTTTTTTTTTTTTTTTTTTTTTTTTTTGGTTGCTCGCTTATGCTCCACGCAGATCTACTAACTAAACAAATAATAAAACAAGTCCATTGTAGGAGNAGTTTAAGCCCTTGTTTTTTTGATTTGAAGAAAGTCGTTTCCGCGCGCACCAGCGAGGCGCACTTTACCACGTATACATGTAGATAGATCGACAGTAGTACTCGTGTATGTACTTTTTTTGCCCAATAATGAATTGATTAAGGTAACCACAAATCGATAAGTTAAATGCATTCACGATTCACACTTTTGAGACCATGCATTGTGTCAATGTACTTGCTAAACTAACTCCATACGTCGACGATTCCTTCGGATTCATTTGTCATCAGACGTATACAGAGATAGAGAGAGAGAGAGAGAGAGAGAGAGGGGGGGGGGAGAAACCAGGAGTAGTAACAGAAAAGGTTTCATAACGTCAGAATATATAAGTGTAAGATGAGAGAGCGACAGCAGCTGCAGAATTACAGCAGGTAAAGCAAATGGCTCTCGCACTATATGTATGCAGATGATGACTAGCATAATAGAGTGACCGGCTTTCTCGCTCTCGCTGCTGTTGATGCTGCACAGCTGACCACGACTATACGATGAGTAAATCTTTACCAAGGTTACTCTATAGGAGTACACATTAAACACCCTTGGCGCATTACGTATACTGGTGTGTGTGTGTGTGTGTGTGTGTGTGTGTGTGTGTGTGTGTGTGTGTGTGTGTGTGTGTGTGTGTGTGTGTGTGTGTGTGTGTGTGTGTGTGTGTGTGTGTGTGTGTGTGTGTGTGTGTGTGTGTGTGTGTGTGTGTGTGTGTGTGTGTGTGTGTGTGTGTGTGTGTGTGTGTGTGTGTGTGTGTGTGTGTGTGTGTGTGTGTGTGTGTGTGTGTGTGTGTGTGTGTGTGTGTGTGTGTGTGTGTGTGTGTGTGTGTGTGTGTGTGTGTGTGTGTGTGTGTGTGTGTGTGTGTGTGTGTGTGTGTGTGTGTGTGTGTGTGTGTGTGTGTGTGTGTGTGTGTGTGTGTGTGTGTGTGTGTGTGTGTGTGTGTGTGTGTGTGTGTGTGTGTGTGTGTGTGTGTGTGTGTGTGTGTGTGTGTGTGTGTGTGTGTGTGTGTGTGTGTGTGTGTGTGTGTGTGTGTGTGTGTGTGTGTGTGTGTGTGTGTGTGTGTGTGTGTGTGTGTGTGTGTGTGTGTGTGTGTGTGTGTGTGTGTGTGTGTGTGTGTGTGTGTGTGTGTGTGTGTGTGTGTGTGTGTGTGTGTGTGTGTGTGTGTGTGTGTGTGTGTGTGTGTGTGTGTGTGTGTGTGTGTGTGTGTGTGTGTGTGTGTGTGTGTGTGTGTGTGTGTGTGTGTGTGTGTGTGTGTGTGTGTGTGTGTGTGTGTGTGTGTGTGTGTGTGTGTGTGTGTGTGTGTGTGTGTGTGTGTGTGTGTGTGTGTGTGTGTGTGTGTGTGTGTGTGTGTGTGTGTGTGTGTGTGTGTGTGTGTGTGTGTGTGTGTGTGTGTGTGTGTGTGTGTGTGTGTGTGTGTGTGTGTGTGTGTGTGTGTGTGTGTGTGTGTGTGTGTGTGTGTGTGTGTGTGTGTGTGTGTGTGTGTGTGTGTGTGTGTGTGTGTGTGTGTGTGTGTGTGTGTGTGTGTGTGTGTGTGTGTGTGTGTGTGTGTGTGTGTGTGTGTGTGTGTGTGTGTGTGTGTGTGTGTGTGTGTGTGTGTGTGTGTGTGTGTGTGTGTGTGTGTGTGTGTGTGTGTGTGTGTGTGTGTGTGTGTGTGTGTGTGTGTGTGTGTGTGTGTGTGTGTGTGTGTGTGTGTGTGTGTGTGTGTGTGTGTGTGTGTGTGTGTGTGTGTGTGTGTGTGTGTGTGTGTGTGTGTGTGTGTGTGTGTGTGTGTGTGTGTGTGTGTGTGTGTGTGTGTGTGTGTGTGTGTGTGTGTGTGTGTGTGTGTGTGTGTGTGTGTGTGTGTGTGTGTGTGTGTGTGTGTGTGTGTGTGTGTGTGTGTGTGTGTGTGTGTGTGTGTGTGTGTGTGTGTGTGTGTGTGTGTGTGTGTGTGTGTGTGTGTGTGTGTGTGTGTGTGTGTGTGTGTGTGTGTGTGTGTGTGTGTGTGTGTGTGTGTGTGTGTGTGTGTGTGTGTGTGTGTGTGTGTGTGTGTGTGTGTGTGTGTGTGTGTGTGTGTGTGTGTGTGTGTGTGTGTGTGTGTGTGTGTGTGTGTGTGTGTGTGTGTGTGTGTGTGTGTGTGTGTGTGTGTGTGTGTGTGTGTGTGTGTGTGTGTGTGTGTGTGTGTGTGTGTGTGTGTGTGTGTGTGTGTGTGTGTGTGTGTGTGTGTGTGTGTGTGTGTGTGTGTGTGTGTGTGTGTGTGTGTGTGTGTGTGTGTGTGTGTGTGTGTGTGTGTGTGTGTGTGTGTGTGTGTGTGTGTGTGTGTGTGTGTGTGTGTGTGTGTGTGTGTGTGTGTGTGTGTGTGTGTGTGTGTGTGTGTGTGTGTGTGTGTGTGTGTGTGTGTGTGTGTGTGTGTGTGTGTGTGTGTGTGTGTGTGTGTGTGTGTGTGTGTGTGTGTGTGTGTGTGTGTGTGTGTGTGTGTGTGTGTGTGTGTGTGTGTGTGTGTGTGTGTGTGTGTGTGTGTGTGTGTGTGTGTGTGTGTGTGTGTGTGTGTGTGTGTGTGTGTGTGTGTGTGTGTGTGTGTGTGTGTGTGTGTGTGTGTGTGTGTGTGTGTGTGTGTGTGTGTGTGTGTGTGTGTGTGTGTGTGTGTGTGTGTGTGTGTGTGTGTGTGTGTGTGTGTGTGTGTGTGTGTGTGTGTGTGTGTGTGTGTGTGTGTGTGTGTGTGTGTGTGTGTGTGTGTGTGTGTGTGTGTGTGTGTGTGTGTGTGTGTGTGTGTGTGTGTGTGTGTGTGTGTGTGTGTGTGTGTGTGTGTGTGTGTGTGTGTGTGTGTGTGTGTGTGTGTGTGTGTGTGTGTGTGTGTGTGTGTGTGTGTGTGTGTGTGTGTGTGTGTGTGTGTGTGTGTGTGTGTGTGTGTGTGTGTGTGTGTGTGTGTGTGTGTGTGTGTGTGTGTGTGTGTGTGTGTGTGTGTGTGTGTGTGTGTGTGTGTGTGTGTGTGTGTGTGTGTGTGTGTGTGTGTGTGTGTGTGTGTGTGTGTGTGTGTGTGTGTGTGTGTGTGTGTGTGTGTGTGTGTGTGTGTGTGTGTGTGTGTGTGTGTGTGTGTGTGTGTGTGTGTGTGTGTGTGTGTGTGTGTGTGTGTGTGTGTGTGTGTGTGTGTGTGTGTGTGTGTGTGTGTGTGTGTGTGTGTGTGTGTGTGTGTGTGTGTGTGTGTGTGTGTGTGTGTGTGTGTGTGTGTGTGTGTGTGTGTGTGTGTGTGTGTGTGTGTGTGTGTGTGTGTGTGTGTGTGTGTGTGTGTGTGTGTGTGTGTGTGTGTGTGTGTGTGTGTGTGTGTGTGTGTGTGTGTGTGTGTGTGTGTGTGTGTGTGTGTGTGTGTGTGTGTGTGTGTGTGTGTGTGTGTGTGTGTGTGTGTGTGTGTGTGTGTGTGTGTGTGTGTGTGTGTGTGTGTGTGTGTGTGTGTGTGTGTGTGTGTGTGTGTGTGTGTGTGTGTGTGTGTGTGTGTGTGTGTGTGTGTGTGTGTGTGTGTGTGTGTGTGTGTGTGTGTGTGTGTGTGTGTGTGTGTGTGTGTGTGTGTGTGTGTGTGTGTGTGTGTGTGTGTGTGTGTGTGTGTGTGTGTGTGTGTGTGTGTGTGTGTGTGTGTGTGTGTGTGTGTGTGTGTGTGTGTGTGTGTGTGTGTGTGTGTGTGTGTGTGTGTGTGTGTGTGTGTGTGTGTGTGTGTGTGTGTGTGTGTGTGTGTGTGTGTGTGTGTGTGTGTGTGTGTGTGTGTGTGTGTGTGTGTGTGTGTGTGTGTGTGTGTGTGTGTGTGTGTGTGTGTGTGTGTGTGTGTGTGTGTGTGTGTGTGTGTGTGTGTGTGTGTGTGTGTGTGTGTGTGTGTGTGTGTGTGTGTGTGTGTGTGTGTGTGTGTGTGTGTGTGTGTGTGTGTGTGTGTGTGTGTGTGTGTGTGTGTGTGTGTGTGTGTGTGTGTGTGTGTGTGTGTGTGTGTGTGTGTGTGTGTGTGTGTGTGTGTGTGTGTGTGTGTGTGTGTGTGTGTGTGTGTGTGTGTGTGTGTGTGTGTGTGTGTGTGTGTGTGTGTGTGTGTGTGTGTGTGTGTGTGTGTGTGTGTGTGTGTGTGTGTGTGTGTGTGTGTGTGTGTGTGTGTGTGTGTGTGTGTGTGTGTGTGTGTGTGTGTGTGTGTGTGTGTGTGTGTGTGTGTGTGTGTGTGTGTGTGTGTGTGTGTGTGTGTGTGTGTGTGTGTGTGTGTGTGTGTGTGTGTGTGTGTGTGTGTGTGTGTGTGTGTGTGTGTGTGTGTGTGTGTGTGTGTGTGTGTGTGTGTGTGTGTGTGTGTGTGTGTGTGTGTGTGTGTGTGTGTGTGTGTGTGTGTGTGTGTGTGTGTGTGTGTGTGTGTGTGTGTGTGTGTGTGTGTGTGTGTGTGTGTGTGTGTGTGTGTGTGTGTGTGTGTGTGTGTGTGTGTGTGTGTGTGTGTGTGTGTGTGTGTGTGTGTGTGTGTGTGTGTGTGTGTGTGTGTGTGTGTGTGTGTGTGTGTGTGTGTGTGTGTGTGTGTGTGTGTGTGTGTGTGTGTGTGTGTGTGTGTGTGTGTGTGTGTGTGTGTGTGTGTGTGTGTGTGTGTGTGTGTGTGTGTGTGTGTGTGTGTGTGTGTGTGTGTGTGTGTGTGTGTGTGTGTGTGTGTGTGTGTGTGTGTGTGTGTGTGTGTGTGTGTGTGTGTGTGTGTGTGTGTGTGTGTGTGTGTGTGTGTGTGTGTGTGTGTGTGTGTGTGTGTGTGTGTGTGTGTGTGTGTGTGTGTGTGTGTGTGTGTGTGTGTGTGTGTGTGTGTGTGTGTGTGTGTGTGTGTGTGTGTGTGTGTGTGTGTGTGTGTGTGTGTGTGTGTGTGTGTGTGTGTGTGTGTGTGTGTGTGTGTGTGTGTGTGTGTGTGTGTGTGTGTGTGTGTGTGTGTGTGTGTGTGTGTGTGTGTGTGTGTGTGTGTGTGTGTGTGTGTGTGTGTGTGTGTGTGTGTGTGTGTGTGTGTGTGTGTGTGTGTGTGTGTGTGTGTGTGTGTGTGTGTGTGTGTGTGTGTGTGTGTGTGTGTGTGTGTGTGTGTGTGTGTGTGTGTGTGTGTGTGTGTGTGTGTGTGTGTGTGTGTGTGTGTGTGTGTGTGTGTGTGTGTGTGTGTGTGTGTGTGTGTGTGTGTGTGTGTGTGTGTGTGTGTGTGTGTGTGTGTGTGTGTGTGTGTGTGTGTGTGTGTGTGTGTGTGTGTGTGTGTGTGTGTGTGTGTGTGTGTGTGTGTGTGTGTGTGTGTGTGTGTGTGTGTGTGTGTGTGTGTGTGTGTGTGTGTGTGTGTGTGTGTGTGTGTGTGTGTGTGTGTGTGTGTGTGTGTGTGTGTGTGTGTGTGTGTGTGTGTGTGTGTGTGTGTGTGTGTGTGTGTGTGTGTGTGTGTGTGTGTGTGTGTGTGTGTGTGTGTGTGTGTGTGTGTGTGTGTGTGTGTGTGTGTGTGTGTGTGTGTGTGTGTGTGTGTGTGTGTGTGTGTGTGTGTGTGTGTGTGTGTGTGTGTGTGTGTGTGTGTGTGTGTGTGTGTGTGTGTGTGTGTGTGTGTGTGTGTGTGTGTGTGTGTGTGTGTGTGTGTGTGTGTGTGTGTGTGTGTGTGTGTGTGTGTGTGTGTGTGTGTGTGTGTGTGTGTGTGTGTGTGTGTGTGTGTGTGTGTGTGTGTGTGTGTGTGTGTGTGTGTGTGTGTGTGTGTGTGTGTGTGTGTGTGTGTGTGTGTGTGTGTGTGTGTGTGTGTGTGTGTGTGTGTGTGTGTGTGTGTGTGTGTGTGTGTGTGTGTGTGTGTGTGTGTGTGTGTGTGTGTGTGTGTGTGTGTGTGTGTGTGTGTGTGTGTGTGTGTGTGTGTGTGTGTGTGTGTGTGTGTGTGTGTGTGTGTGTGTGTGTGTGTGTGTGTGTGTGTGTGTGTGTGTGTGTGTGTGTGTGNTTTTTTTTTTTTTTTTTTTTTTTTTTTTTTTTTTTTTTTTTTTTTTTGTATGCTCGCTTATGCTCCACGCAGATCTACTAACTAAACAAATAATAAAACAAGTCCATTGTAGGAGGAATAAGTTTGTTCGTTAATGAATTTTCTCAGCAATATTGAGTAAAATATTTAAACAATACTAGTGTTATACACTAAGGCTTAGCCTTTTTTACTATAAATTCTTTTGCAGCTGCTCACGATTTTTCTCAAACAAAATTCATGCAGTAAATGAGAGTGTGTGATGATTATTTACAATTTACAATACTCGTACATTTCATAGTGTATTAAGATATCGACTATCGACTCTATCGAGTATCGGCAATCGACACTGTATAGAGGAGTTGCCTCGGGCTTGAGTCAGTTCGGATTTCGGATAAGTACTCGGACTGCTCAGAGCAATAAGGTGTAATTACTTGAGAGAACCATTAGGTTTGTTCATTTATCCACTTTGGAGCGCTCCGAGGCCTCCGAGCGATCTATAAATTAATGATATAATAGGTATAGGTATAGTTATTCCCCGCTTATAACTGATGTTCGTAAACACTGAGCAGTTGTAGTGAGTACACCTATATAGTATAAAGATATCTCGGAGGCCTCGGAGCGCTCCAAGGTGGATAAATGAACAAACCTATTGTTTTAAAAGCGGCGCAATCACATGCAGTCGATTGTATATAGGGACAATTCAATTCTATCCTGCAGGATGCATGCACACTCTATTGCGCTCCATGTGACTGGCACACTCGTCACTCACTGACTGCAGCCTAAGGGTGAGATTACATGGAGTCTGGCAATCTGCAGACTGGCAGAATCGCGCTAAGTTTAAAAATATGTTTCAATATTATTATTTAAAACCTGTTACGTAAGCAAAGAAATAATTATCGTAATACATTTGCATTTCTGTATTAACTAATATTTATGAAAAAAAAAGGTGACGAAAAACGTTTTGTCACAGTTACATATTGTTATACATACCAGGTTACATCAGTGACCCTACTGACCGACTGTGCGATGTTAACATAAATCTATAAAAAAAGTTATTAAATAATATTTGATACGTTTTATTGTAAATGAAATTGATTGTAACTAAGCCTTTATTCTGTTATGACAATAATTACAATTTTTTCTTTATTTTACTAAACTATTCTGAGATGTTATAATTTAAACATAATTTAAACTTAGCGCGATTCTGCCAGTCTACAGACTGCCAGACTCCATGTAATCTCACCCTAACTCTCGGCGATAATGCCGATAATTTACGCATGTACACGTACCCTTAGAATTGTAGAGAGAGAAAGCACTTTGTTTTTGTTCCATGCACGGAACGTGTGCAGCGGATATCTATAGACTATCTAGAGTGAAGTAAACTGTCGTCACATGTAACGTTGTTATTGAAATTACTTATGTAATAGTCAATCTAAGTAGATATATTAGACAAGTATTTTTAAGGGTCAATAATTACCTAACAAAGAATGGAGGCTATGGAGGATGTTATATTGAAGTTACTTGTCACTGATACTAATGTCATACAGCAGGTTGGTTATGTTACATGTATATATAATATATATAATATATACCGAACACGTGTATTATCATCACACAAGTATAATATTTATTTCTAGTGTTTTTAATTTTTTAATATTCACCGTAAGACTTTTGGGATCATAAGTATTTGAAAACAAAATGCAACTTTCAGTAATTTTAAAAATTTTTTTAAATCCAGTATTATGTTAGATTAATTTTTTAGGCAACAGCACAAATTCAAGAAGCTTTTAAAAAATCTGAGTGCATACGACATTTGTATCAACTTGTTGTATCATCTACTAATCCACAGGTAGGAGAGCAATGCTCTACATGGATGTCTTTTTATTTTATTTATTATTATTTTTTTGACATGATCTGATCTATTATTATCTTGTGATATTCGTATAGGTAAGACAGTATGCCGCTCTTTTGTTGAGGAAACGGTACACCAAAGGCAAATATTGGACAGCACTGCCAGAAGAAATAAAAACAGACTTGAAGACAATACTCTTACAGGTAATCTTTTTTTTTTTTGTTAACTATGTATACATAAATAAAAAGTTATACACATCGAAAAACCATATTCAGGCTCTTGTTCAAGAACCAGAAAAACTTGTCAAAAACAATATTGCTCAATTGATTGGTGTTGTTGTGAAACATGAGTTGCCTAAAAATAAGTGCTTGGAAGTGTTTCAATTTATACGCCATCAGCTTGCAAGCGGAAATTTATCCAACCAAGAAGTAAGAGTTAATCTAAAAAACTTTATACTATTTTTTTAATAACAATGATTAACTAATATCAATAGCCATTGCCTAATTGATTTTATGTTCCGTTATAGTTGGGCATGTATACTTTATCAGTAATGACTGAAATAACACAAGATGTATATCTACCTCATGCGCAAACAATCATGGAAATGTTGAATGAAACCCTAAACAGTTTTTGCAATCTAGCTAATCCAGTGTCGTGTTATATTTTAGATACATTGCTTCATTTAGTTCCACTAATAGAGGGAAATCAGTTGGTAAGTGTAACATGATTTGCTTTTAAATTTTGAAATTATCATTGTTTTTATTACTGCTAGTACTAGCATTTATGAAAATATTAATTTTTAAACACAGATGGTCAATGCCTACCATCAAATGCTGCCTCGAATCATGCAAATCATTCAATCACTGGTTACAGTGAATCCAGAAAAAGCAGTCAAAGGTTTTGAGCTGTTGCACGAACTGTGCGAAATAGCTCCAATTGTCGTTTCACCATACATTGAAAATTTGTTGGAAATGTGTATAGTTATAGCCAATGATAGATCTTTAGACGAGGATTTGAGAAAGAAGGCCATAACTTTTATAGGCTTGATTGCTAAAACAAAAAAAAAAGCTTTAGTTAAGCTCAAGCTCGTTGAAGCGATAATAGGTAAAAAAACAAATGTGACATTTTAGATTTTTTTGCACAATTGCAAAATATGTAGGCTCGTGGGTTGAAAAATTTGAGTGATTCAGTGTTATGTTTGTTTGTTTATTCCACCAGATATGCTGTTCTCGCAGATGTGCGCTCAACCAGACGACGAAAATCAAGAGATATACTTTGGCAACGACGACGACAATACGTTGGTAACTAGCGCTACCCATACCCTCGACCAACTAGCATTGCACTTGCCTCCGGAAAAGTTGTTCCCACATTTGGTGAGTTCTATATATTGTGGTTTGTCATGAATTTATACTTTAAATATAGAATAATTATGCCAATAAAAAATAACAATATGTCTACAACCGAGTACCTTTAACCACTACCACTACAACGAAACGCTGCAGGTGAAGCATATCGAGCCCGGGTTGGAGAGAGGCGACGCGTACACCAAGAAAGCCTCCTATTTGTCACTAGCCGTGTTGGCCGAAGGCTGCTCAGAGTACATTAAGAGCAAGTATCTCGAACCGTTTTTGAGGTGTATATGCTGTGGTATAGGCGCAGACGAACCGGTAGTCCGTAACGCGGCTTTGTTTGCTCTTGGCCAGTTTTCCGAGCATCTGCAGCCAGACATTAGCCGTTACGCTCACGAATTGCTTCCACCATTGCTTCGTCGATTTGACGAGATATGCGTCGAAATTAGGCATCAGCAAAAAGATCCGGATTCATCCGATCGCGTTTTTTACGCCGTTGAAATGTTTGCCGAGAACTTGAACGAAGGTCTACTCCCGTTTTTGCCTGACCTCATGGCCATCCTCTTTTCGATATTGGAGGACAGCGCGAGCCCGGTGCACTTGCGCGAGCAAGCTCTTAGTGCGATCGGTGCGGCGGCCAACGCTAGCAAAGAGCACATAGAGCCTTACTTTCAGCGTATCATTGGCATATTAGAGTGCTATCTCACCTCCAAGCCATCGGTATCCAGCAATGACGAGATTACATGCTTGAAGGTGCAAGCAGTAGGTTAGTCTCAATGGCAGCAGTTGAACCTACTTATTACAACTGTCGACAGTGTCACGCTTTTGTTGATTACAATTCGCGTTACAGATACTTTGGGCGTACTAGCAAGGACCGTTGGACAAGACAATTTTTCCCCCCTGGCCTCGAGGTCGGTTGCACTTGGTATGGACATGTTGAAAGACACGGACGACCCGGACTTGAAAAAGTCCGTTTACGGTCTATTGGCGTCCCTGAGCGTAACTTTGAAGGGCAAGTTGTCGCCTGTTCTTCCAGAAATCGTCACGTATCTAATAACAAGTGTGCAAAGCTCCGAAGGAATCGTGGTAATTTTCCATCTCCAGTAATCTTGAGCTTGAATTTTTACATTTCGTAAAGTTAATGAAAAAAATTAAGTGTCTGATGACATTTGCTTCTAGACCCAACTCAAGACTGAAGATACTTCGCAATACTTGATATACGAGGACTCGAGTGAAAGTGACGGAGCCGAAGAGGAAGACATTGAGAATACGGATGATGAAAATAACGATAAAGACGACGATGATGACTATGAAGATGATATTGCTGGCTACAGCATTGAAAACGCTTATATTGAAGAAAAGGAGGAAGCCATTTTAGCTCTGAGGGAGCTAGCTGAACATACCGAGTACGTTTTTTTTTTTTTTTTATTATTTAGATTTTCAATCAAACATTTGCATGTATTTAATTCAGCTATTTTATTTTGACAGGCAAGATTTTTTACCCTATTTGGAGGAAGCATTTAAGGAAGTTTTTAAGCTAGCAAATTATCCACAAGAAGACATACGAAAAGCCGCAGTAGTCGCCTTATCGCAGTTTTGTATTAATTTTTCGAAAATAGAAACACCGGATGGTAAACAAGCTACGCAACAAGCACTCTGTGTTTTTGTTCCCAAGCTTGCTGAATTAATAAGGCTGGACGGAGAACGAAGCGTCGTTTTACAAGGATTGGATGCGTACGCTGAACTATTGGAGCATATCAAGTCTGACGTTCTCGTTGGGTCAGGTCACAAGGATGCCATTGAAAATTGTGTTACTGAAGTTATGCTTGGTAATAACTCGAAAAACAAACGTCAATTATAACAAATTTTTTTTTTCACTTTATTTTGCCTTGGATTTAATATTTATTAAGGTCGTACCAGCTGTCAAGATGGAGAAGAAGCTGAAACCGAAAGTGATGGTGACGAAGGTGAAGCTGAACACGACGAGTTGTTATTCGAATGTGCAGGTCAAGTTTTAGTAAATTTAGGAAATAGCATGACATCGCAAGATTATGCTGTATATTTTGGAAAAGTGCTGCCAATACTAATCAAACGAAGTGTGGTTGGTTATATTTGTATATTTTTTGTATGTTAAAGTAATGTTCCTTAACACTCCTCATTATTGACTTGTGTGTATCGTTTCTTGTGACAGAAAAATAGCAATTCCGACGCTCAAAGGTCGTTTAGCATTGGAACAATAATCGAGTGTTTTCCAGCATTAAATGATTGCGTTGCAATATTTGCTCTCCAATTGCTACCAATTTTTATAAAACTCACAAATGATTCTTGCGATGAAGTCCGAAGCAATACTATTTTTGGTTTGGGTGAATTGGCATATTATGGAAAAGAAGTTTTATACCCGTATCCTTTTTGAAGCAATCGTCGACAGCTGTGACGATTAATTTAAAAAAAAAATATTTTCCATTCATGGCGCACTTTTGGCAGACATTATTTTGAAATTCTGCAAACCCTTTCACGAGTTACAACCAAGGAGAAAAACGCTGGAGCTCGAGATAATATTATAGGTGCTATAGCTCGACTGATAATAACGAATCATTCGATCGTACCACTGGAACAAGTTTTTCCCGTTTTCGTCAGCCAATTACCATTGAAAGAAGACTTGGAGGAAAATAAAACTGTTTACAAATGTATTATGCAACTTTATGGATGCGGTCATGTAATTTTAAAACCCCATTTGAGTCATCTTTTGCAAGTATCTTTTAGATTGTTGGAAACGGAAAACACGGATACCGGTAAAAAATTACAATTTTGTCTAATTTTGTCAATTGTCTTATTTAAATGTAAGTCTGTGTTTTATAAAGATCGGCATTATTCGTTTTAGAAACAAAAAGTATTGTCGTGGAATTTATGAAATCGGTTCAAAGAGATTTTCCAGCAGATATTTGGAACCCATTTTGTAATCAACTCGGACAAGAAATCTCGGACCGCTTACACAATATATTAAAATAATGTAAACAAGGTAAAATTTTACGTATTTTTTACATTTGAACGTGAAAAAAGTTTATTGAATTTTTAAAAATGTAAACAAATGGAAAGTTGAATAAAAAATTTTTTAATAAAACGACTGTCAATTTATTAAGCTCATTGGAAGACTTGAAAAAATAACATACACAACTGTTGGAGTATCGAATTAATTTGCATGGATTGAGATTTTTTTTTTTTACCGAGTAGTTGCGTTTTAAAGTAATTGAGCACGAATAATGTACCTATACCCACGATATACGAACGCTACAGCGCTCCAAAAATATTGATAAATCTAATCTGGGTGGTAGAGATGATGGTATCATAACTTTGTTATCGCTAGATTGCGATAAGTTGATGACCATTATTTCTTGAAAAAATACAAACCTGTCGTCAGGTCAGTTTATTCACCAACTTTTCGATATCCAAGATGTATAATTGAGACTGTTTATTTTTACTCGAGTGTTGATGTTGCATTAGTTTGTGTATAATAAACGTTGATATTTCAAAAATATTTCAGGTAAAATTGTAAACGCTTGTATTCGTATGAGCACATTTTTCGCATGAAAAATTTCGTGGCATATATCAATCCAAAGAGCAGCTATATCGAGATTATTTCAAGTCCATCATTTTTCATACGAGATATCATCACTCGTACTTATGATGAAAATTTCAAGCTTTCTTAAATTTTTTCATAAATTTCTTTCTATTCAAAGTAACTTTAATGTTATAAAATAATTTTGATACTTATCAAAATGATGTCGGTGTTTAGTAGATATGCAAACGTAACAACATTGACGTTTCTCTGATTTGTTCAAGGATTTTGTTCGGATAAATTTTTTTTTTTTTCTTAAAATTGTGCAAGTACTAATAACAAATAAATTGTACGCAATATTTTTTAACTTCATAGCACTTGGTATTACGTCCGAAAAAACGTCGTGTACATCACGTATGCGTACATATTATGATATTTGTGTGCAGTACTAGTGTGTAATATTTCTGTTTTGCAACACTAGCTTTTTAAAATTATAAAAATGGTGTTTATTGCGTAAACCTACGGTGTATATTAAGCGAGACATGAAAAGGTAGGAAAAAGATTTTTTAAATATAACATGTGGGATTATTGGGACTATTTCGACATTACAGCGTATCATGATCATTTCGAACGTGTTATCTCAAAAATGTGTATATTTCGTACGATGAGCGCTGAAAAGACGAGATGATTGTTGTACGTTCGATTTCAATCGAGTTGCAAAAGACTTTTTTTTTTTTTTTGTTCTTTTTTTTTACCCACCATGCATTTTTTTGTATTTTTTTTTTTCACTCACTCATATGAAATTTGTAATGTCTATTATTCTTTCAATTAATTGTAACAAATAATTTCAAAGCTTTTTAGAATTGACGTGGATTATCAGATATATGTAATACTGCACGCTATCGACGTCACGTTTGGCAGATGTATCACATCTATTGTTGAGAAACAAACGATTTGCAAGTATTTTTAGAAAAATGAATGTAGAATTGGTAGCTAGAAATTCACTGTCGTCGCTACAGAAAACAAGCGATAACACATTTATAGTATCTCCTGGAAATCTTGATGATTGGACGTGGTGTAATTTAAGGGTAACAGCTACTTGATAATTGATACAAATACATGCGTATTTTTTTTATTATTTTTTTTTCTTTTTCCGAATTTTTTATTCCGTCAAATTTTACAGAAACAATTCAAGTATAAAAATCTAGAGCGGCTGTATTTGATTTATCGTCGGAAACTCGAGAACGGTTACATGTCTCTATTTGTTGTGGTGCAATTGGCTTTGAGTATTGTCCACGGTATTGTTTTAATTTCCACGGTTAGTAAAAATACCTTTATAAAGTAAAATAGTAATTGAGATATATATATAAAACCCATTCACATATTCATAGGTGCATGTATGAAAAAATATATAAATTTTCACACCTGTTGGGCTATTGGTTGAACATTGATTTCAGGTAGACGCAATAAAAAATGTGATTGTTGATTTAACGGCGTGCGGACTGATAAATGCTCTATTATTTCCTGTGATTGCCCTTTCCTTTCGATCAGATTTGACTGTAAAAAATGTTTACCTGCCAATTTACTTTTCTTCTCTGGTTATTGCCTTCTTGGTCGCTGGAGACTTGATTGTTGTCATTTATCACACTCTATATAGTACTGATGAAGGCCTGTATTTCAGGTAAGTATACACACATGTACATGTAAGTAAAATAATGCTTTTTATTAAGCAAGAAAATCCAAACAGATAGGCAGTAAACATATGACATGCATGAACCGTTTTGCCTATAGTATAATTATAATATATAGTGCACCCTTGCGGCACGCAGTTGGGGGTGGAAATTATTAATTACTATCATTAATCGTACTTTTTTAGACCTCCAAACGCAACGCACACTCTTCTGGCTTGTTACATATTTCTCCCTCTATCAAGTAACGCTCACGCCTTCATTTTAGGAGTAACAGCTTCACTTTGCTATCTTGCGAGTCTTTTACTTATTACCTACAGAAACGATTCGGACTTTGACGTCAAGGTACTTACAACTGGGTACATTTTTACTAGATAGATGTAAGTATATTATTCCACATCACTTGGCTTTATTTTTTTGTCATGGATTTTCAGATAGCTACAGATTTCATGTACCATACGTGCGTAAACTTTTTGGGGCTCTACTTTCGTTTCATGAATGAAATAATGATTAGAAGATCCTTTCTGGATCGGAGAAAGTATGTAGAGTCGACACTCCGGCTCAACTACGAAAAGGATCAAGAGGTACGAAACATTATTATTTCTCTTAAATAGTACATTAACAATTTAATTTTTTCGCTATCCTTTTGTCTATAAATATTCATACCGATGATAATCATATACATACATATATGTTTTGTTAACTTGTTAATTTTAAGAGGTAGTTTATATATTTACTACTGTCCATAATGGTGTTTATACACGTACACGTATACGTACTTATGTCTCGCAGGAACAGCTAACGAGAAGCATTTTGCCTCCACATATTGCTGCCAAAATAAAGAAAAATTTTCGAGATATATGTAAATTTGTAGAGGAGCATAAAATACCTTCGTTTTACGAGGAAAACTCGACATGTTCATTTTCATCATCATCGTCATCGATATTGAAGTATTAAAAAAAAAAAAATAAAAAAAATAAAAATAATAAAAAAAATTAAGCTAACGTTTTATTATTATTATTATTATTATTGTTGTTGTTGTTGTTGTTATATGTAAACATCAATAATAATATGCTATCCAAACAATTGATAAGCAACTTAAATTCAAATACATTTGGCTTGCACTCTCAGGGATTTGTACGTTGAAATACACAACGACGTGAGTATTCTGTACGCCGATGTGGTGAACTTTTCGGGATTGACAGTTACGCTGCCTGTAAAAAAGTTGGTTGAAACCCTAAATGATCTATTTAGCAGCTTTGACGAAGCATCCGAAAGGCACAATGTTCTTAGAATCAAGTTTCTTGGTGACTGTTACTACTGCGTTAGTGGCTTACCACTTCCAAATTCACAGCATGCAAAAAGTTGTGTCGATCTCGGTACGTTGTTTTATACTTATTACCATTTTCATAATATTATTTCAAACAGCAGCTACTAAATACATAAATAATCACCTCCTTTGTAGGCATAGATATGATAAATATAATTGAGGGAGTTCACGTCAGGGTACAAAAAGAATGTGGCGTTGACGTTAATATGAGAATAGGAGTCCACTCTGGTAAAATCATTTCAGGAATTTTAGGAATTAATAAATGGCAATACGATGTCTGGTCGCGTGACGTCATCATAGCAAATAAAATGGAACAGACTGGCGAGGCTGGTAAAGTTCACATCACTAAAAAAACAATGGGCCTTTTAGACATGAGCACATACAACTTCAAACCAGTGACCAATTTGAATAATTCCATTCTTCGTAAATATGGAATTTTTCAAAGCTATCTCATTGCTCCCAAAGCACTCGATTTGCAGCTTTCATTGGTTATTATTCATCTTTTGACGCTATTTATTATATTCTTAAGATATAATATGTAGACTATTAGTGATCCGCTGTATTGAGTTACTTACTTTTTTTTCATAGTAACGTCGCGTCTCTTGGTTAATCACATTTTACTTTACAAAACCGTCAAGGGGGTTTTATAAAAAAAAAATTATGTGATGACCGGGCCTTCGAAATTGATTGATTGCAAGGTTCCTCGATGATAGATAAACAAATAAACTAAAATGGATAAAAGTTGAAGAACATTGATCTTTGCTTTATTAATTTTTGAACATTGACATGCTCAATTATTTAAAAATGAAATTATTTATAAAAGCATTTTATACCAACTGATCGATTTTATACCAACTGTTTACGTTCAGCGTGTTTTTTTACATGAACGTTTGTTTTTAGAATGACGATTTAAAATCAAGCCTTTTTTGTTCGGAGAATGTTCCCTTATCCTGTAACAATAAGCATCCTCATGGAAAGTGGTAACGAAATTACCTATTGATTCATACAGCTTTTGTCGTATTGAAACACACATACATATGAATGAATGATGTTCCTAAAATTTTTCAGTAATCAAGCGGACGCGTACGCCTGTGGTTCTCGAAGAAGGACTCATTTCATGGATTCGTGTCTTCGCGATTATCATTTAATGTTGAAAGCCGCAGACGCCGAAATGGAAAAAGCCATTCAACAGATGCCTCTGAGTAAATGGGAGTAGGTTTATTTTTACGATTTTCAGTACTTACACTGCAGTCTTTTGTGTAATTTTATAAATTATCTGATACAAATATACCTACATTGTGTACATACGGTACCTACAATATTATAAGTACATGTGCAAGAGTACTCCTTCAAATAATTTCGATTAATCTTTAGACAGTGGTGCAAATGGGACAGCATTAACCCTCTATTTTTGACGTTCTCACGAATTGGTTGGGAAATACCATATCTAAGAGAGCCAGATCCACTTTTCAAATTTTACGTTGCATGCGCAGTATTCGTTTTATTTTTCGTCGGATGCATCCTGTTTTTTCCGATAGCTGCTGTTTATCAAAAAAAGTAAGTGTTACCTCTTTTACCGTCACAATGCAAGTAGTAGTTCAAAGAAATCGTTAAGTAGAAAAATACATCGATATTTTCGCTAAATCAAAATTTTTAATAAATTCAACGAATTAAATTTCAAACCCTTACGTTTAATTTGACGGCATACCAGAAAACTCAGTTGCGTATATATATNCATCAGGACTTTGACCTTGAGTTTTATTGATAGTCATAGAAAAAGCTAAGGTAAATGGAAATTGTTTTCTGTACAACATAAATAGTAGCTAAGAAGAGTTGTTTGTTTGTAGTGTTATTCTTGGAAAAAAGACTTTTTTTTTTTTTTTTTTTTTTTTTTTTTTTTTTTTTTTTCCAATCCTCACAACTACATTTTGAAACATTTTGTTAATATTAACCAAGTGCTTTTATTAGCTCATACTTGGCCGTTGCAACAGTAACAAGTTATGGAGTAACTTTGATATTTGTGTTGAGTCTGATTCCATTGACATGGACTCAGTTTTTATGGAGCCGTCATAAAAATTTACACGATGAAAGCGAAAATGACATCAAACAACAACCGTCTCGACAAATTTTAAATTTTTTTTATCAAATGAGTGTCAAGGTATTAACCATGAATCATCTTTCTTTTGCCAAATAAAAATTTTCATTGCTATATTTTATGCAGGTAGTTTGGAATCAAGTTCTCAGAATATTTCTTTATTTTGTGATTACGTCGATGGTCGCAATGACTGCTGTTTTTGTTTTTTTGGTAAAATACATCGTCTATTTGTATCAATTGCATTAAAATGATTATAAAAATTGATAATTACAGATAGAAAGTGAGACAGCCTATAAAAATAATTACTACCAGAGTAGTGATGGACAAAATAATAGCAATACCAACATAAATACGACAAATTTTTCCAAGACTGAAAAATTCAACTCCACTTGTGTTTCACGCCCTTGGGTAAATTTTTTCAGTGCTTTCAACACGGTTGCCAAAGAATATCACATATACATTATTATTCACGTTGGGACGTATTTTCATTGACAACACATTACGTTTAATCGACCACACTATATATTATTTGGCTACTTTTGTCATATTTTATTTTTTGTGCTACAAGTATGTACTTTTTATTTATTTAAGCCATCAACTGAAACTTGTGCACTGGCCATTTTTTCGACTTTTGCATTTCTAAGAATTCATTTTCTTCTAAAACTGTGTGCTGGAATATCAATTACAACTTTTTACGCTTGGAACATTTGGGATTTACAATCTTCTGTATTCAAGGTACTTATTTAGATAATTTATTAATTTAATTTGAATTGTTGTGTTATATAGATCAGTATGATATATTAATTTGAATTTTCGAAGCGAACACAAGTCACTATTTTGGATGCTTTTAAAAAATCCCCAACAATTATAAATACAAACATATGTATGTTGCATGAATTTTAGAAAAATATTTTTAGTTGGGACTAATATTGTTATGCCAAACCCTCCCGTGTGTGTCCAAGAGGTACTTTTACCGTTGAAATAAACAGTTCAAAAATGTGTTCTGCGGGAATCGAATCCTCGACTCCTGTATAAATTTGATTAGTGTGTCTAAATCTCTCGTAATCTTGGTGTTACTACTTATTTGTGTTAATTGAGAATATTTACACAGTTCAATGGTGAAACATGGAATCCTTACATTGACAGTGGACTGGCGCATATCTTAACAGTCTCGTACTTGACTATTTCCTTACACTTGATCGATCGTCAAGCGGAATATCTTAATAGGCTCAACTATCTGTGGAAACGCCAATTAACAAAAGAGCAAGACGAAGCTTTCCATACGAGAAACGCAAATAAGTTACTTTTGAGAAATATTCTTCCAGAACACGTTGGTAAGTTCCTGATTATCCATAATGACTGTTTTTTTTCATTACTGCATACATACACCTACTTGACGATTTTACCACGAGTAAATAACAAACTTGTGCGTCGTCTGATTTTCCGTTTAATTTTTTTATTACAATAAAATGAAATGGCATGTTTATTTTTACAGCTGACTTTTATCTAAATATGGATAGGACCGAAGAAAATGCCCTTTATTACGAGGCTCATGATCATGTTGCCGTTATGTTTGCGACATTAACAGATTTGTCGATTGATGAAAGTAATATTTTAATTGACTTTAATGAAATCATATGCCACTTTGATAAATTGCTCTTTAAGCCAAATTTCATGTGTAGAATAGAAAAGATCAAGCTAGCAGGTTCCAACACATATTTTTTAATTATCGCACCATCATCACGCCATGTGAGCACAATTTTCCTTAACCACGAAAATTTTCATAAATGTTTTAGGAACGACGTATATGGCCGCTTGTGGTTTGGAAACTTCCAAGGTAAATAATCAAAGATCCAACGTTTCCACGCGCGACATGGAATCGAGTTATAACGTAGTCAAAGTGATGACTCAATTTGCAGCCGAAATGATGTCTACTCTTGAAAAAATGAAGACTCAATCTAGAAAATCTTACAAGTAATTATATATTTGTTTATTCTTGGTGATGCGTGCACTTATTTTTTTTTCTTCTATTATTATTGTTATTATTATTATTATTATTATTTTTTTTTTTTATTACAACATAGAACGCGACATGTTAACTAAAATCATCGGTTATTAATATTTATTCATATATTGCCTGGATATGCATTATTTTAAAAATATATATAAAACGCACACCTACAATAGCTGGCTTTTATTTACGACTCGTATATATTTTATTTACCTTCACTTTATTTTGTTAGATTAAGAGTTGGAGTTTCTCATGGCGAAGTAACTGCCGGCGTAGTTGGTGCTCAAAAGCCTTTGTATGATGTGTGGGGCGATGCTGTCAATATGGCTTCAAGAATGGATACAACTGGAGAACCAGGAAAGATACAGGTAATATGCTGTATTACGGTATGTGAGACGAAACATTTTTTTTTATGACAAGCGTAACTCCATATTGTATGACGTCCCAGAAAAATAACAACTATCTCTCTCTATATCTTTCCCCAATTTCGAAGACTGAATCCATAAAAAAAAAAAAAATTAATGACTTTGTACGTGTAGTGTAGAATGTGCTAGGGTATCGATGAAATACTTAGTTTTTTTTTTCTTATCAAATTTTAATGTTTTTATAATTTTTTTTATTAAGATTTACCAACAATCATAATACTATATGCCCTCTCCTTGACATTGAATTAAATAATAGCAAAGCCTCGTTTATCTACAAAAAAGTTATACTCGTTAAAGTTTTTTTTTTTTTTTTTTTTTATTCATTTTAATGGAATAAGGAATACCTTATTACAGAACTTGTACTTGGTAAATTTGTAAATAGATTATGACATCTTAACGCCAGTGATGGTAATATATAATTTTTTATATCGAGCGTACTTTGGTCATGTTTTGTATGTAAGGCTGCATAATATTTTACACAAAATGCAGTTCTATGTTTACTTTATTCACTCATGTTTCTTTTAAAAACAAGTAACTGTATCCTCGTTATAAATACGGTATATAACTTGTGATAGTATAAAGTCTAATTCGTCACCAACACCGTGTTTCACGTAATTGTACTAAAATTTGAAGAAAAGTACTGATTTGGTACAGGTTACAAGGGATACAGCACAGCTATTAGAGAATGAAGATATAAAGTGTCATCTTCGGGATGAAATTTGGGTAAAACCCAAAGGCTTTGTGACGACATATTTTGTGGGACTCGATGCTAAAATGGAGCTTGAAGTAATAATACGTAAAGAAAATACCAGTTTGTAAAATGTGGAATAAATCTGTTTAGTCACTAATAAATTAATAATAAAGTTTACATGTTGTAAAAGAAAATTAAAATTTTTGTAGATGCACAGCTTTAAGTGATATTCATGAGTCAAATTTTTTATTACAATGTACTATATGTTTGGATATTGATATGGTGCCTAGTACATAATTTTTAATGGTATACATACAGTGGAAAACTAGTTACAATCAATCTTGAGAAAATGCATCATGATGCTCTTGAGCCGCAAATGATGATACTTGTATAGTTTTACGTGCCTCTTGCGCATCGACCTCCAAACTTTAATCAAACATCTTATTTACTTTATTCTTGGTTTCTAAAAATACATTTTACAAATTTTCTCACTTTAAGAACCACGTGATCGATAAAAAAAAAAAATTCCTTTTAAAATAGGATTTGGTGTGCACGCCTATAACAACATTTTCTAAATTGCTTATCTGTTTTCAGAGTTTCAAGAGTTTTTCTGTTCGATAGATTTATTGTAGCTTCTGTTTTACTCATTGGGATGTATTTTGTCTTGAATATTATTATACATAAACTCTGTCCATTAATGTTTCGTGTTCTCTATGGCTCAATAGATGACAATTTGTGTAATCATATTTGTTTATATAACCTTGGTACTGGTTGTGTAAAAAGTACATGAGTCTATATTTTTGATGATTCGCCAGTGAATTTACAATAAGTGTCGCAATCATACCCCAAGCGAAAATTATCTCATTCATTTTTATTGTTTATAAAGAAAAATAATAACTAATAATAACAAATGACGAAGTCCAAATTTCAGACTATAATAATATTTTTCGCCCTCGGGTGGTTTTGGGAGGCTGGTACTTCCTCGGGCGAAAAAGCAGTTTTCCGGAACTCGTTCGAAAAGTCTCCTTTACGAACCTCGTTACGTCCCTCGCCTTCGGCTCGAGCCGCAAACCTCTCGGTTCGCAAACAAAGACTTTTCAAACTCGTAGGAAAACTACCATTGTAACTTTCCAATAAATTAATTATTATCAGATGTAATTTTTTTTTTTTTTTTTGTGAAAATTGTATCAAAAACTTAAGTTTTGTTCTCTTATTAAATCACGGTAACCAATCACTCTCACGAACAATTAGTAATAGTTTGTAAAAGTTTTTATCAGTTGTTGAAAAATTTTAAAATAATAAGTATAATAACTAATACATATTATAAACTATAATTTTAGTTCCGACCGATAAATTTTTAATAACTAAAATTTTTCTTCCAGAGAGCTCTTGCTTAGCTGTTTACATGAATATCATTGCCTTTTGATTGCCATTTGCCACGTGATTCTATTTTTTCAAATACGCCAATCTGTTTTTGATTGCACAAGCTTTCTTGTGTGTTTTCAGTATTTTCGATAAGAATACCGATGTCCTTTTTCGTAATGAAGGTTTACAATTTGTCTCTTCATTTTATCAATCGTATCTCAAATTTTGTACAGTAATGTTAAATATACATTCAAGCTTATTAATGGACTTGAAAAATTTAATTGATTCAGATGATATTTTATCCAATGAGTTACGACAAACAATATATTTTTAGTCATATATTACAGAAAAAAATCCTCCCTCACGAAAAACAGCACCGTATCAAAATAACCATCCAATCGATAAAAATTTTTTATTGAAATAAAAAAATCATAATTAGCTGCTAATCCACATGAAATGGTCACAGTATCGAGACATAATTGATGAACTAGTACTTTCTCATTATATATAAATGTTTTCGAATCATCATCACGTTCCACGATACAAATGTTATTAATAAAAAACCATATATTTTAGCGTATAAATTTGTTTATTATTTTTTAAATATATTTTAAACAATATAATTCTACAACATAGCATAAAAATGTACAAAGACTCGAAAAAAAGTTCCTACACCTTCATACAGCGTTGTAAGAAGTGTGATTGGGTTTAAAGATTCATGCTTACGGATTTTCATATCTAAACATTCACACTTACAAAACGTTTTTAAACATCCTTTTTTTTTTTTTTTTTTCAGCACCTTGATTGCAACTGTTATTTTTTATCCTCAACTAATCGTAGTACAAAGAAGCAGAAATAAATTACAAGGTTTGACAGTTAATTTCATAAAATCTTTTACCACACCCGTGCAATATCTTTTTATACAATTTATCTGATCTGGTCGATTTGTTTTGCCTTCATTTGATTTCTGTCAGTATGGTGCTGCTAATTTATTTGAATGTTTTTACATACTTACACGAAAACATAAGAATGTTTGAGAATGTTAGTTCATTAAGTTTAAAAAAAAAAAAAAAAATCCTTCATTTCACTATTCTCATGAATACCTTTTATGCACACATACACGCGCATGTAAATTCAGTCTCTCTCTAGTTATGCTGGCCTTAATACTAATTGTATATGATACAGTAATATTCAGATAACGAATCTCGAGTATAAAATAGAGTGGATGCCACGTGTTGGATCGAGTAAAAAATATTATGTAAAAATGTTTATTTTCAGTCGTTTTACATTTCTTAGCGTTAGTAGGCAGCGATCAGTTGTCTATACACACTAATGACGAATTATCAACTTGTTACCGCATGCCCCTTATCAAATATCGTAACAATAAAAGTAGAATATGTATTGTATTTTCATTATTACGACAAGATCACGTATAAAAGTTTAAAAATAACTATTTCGAAATTTCTCAACATGATAAAAAACCAAAATTTCATTAATAACTTTCAACTAAAAATGTAAATATTCTACATTTTTATTTACAATCAAGAATTTTTTACTTTTTACATTTTTAGTCGCTTTAATCGTTAACGATACATAAAAATAATAATATAATTACAAAGCTTATCACTTATCCTGTCTCTAAAGTAATATCTCAATACAGTTGACAGGCTATGAATAATGAATGATATTTTTTGTACAGCATCTTAAAATTTTGGAAAAATGAAGTTGAAAATTTTAATTTTTCCAAACATTTTTACAATGTAAATATTGTTTATCAGTTCATTATTAGCTAAAAAATTTGACTCTAGTGTATATCGATACGATAACGATTGAATTTTATGTATATACTTTTTAACAAATTCTATACATACGCCATGCATACATATAATATATACATATACCAGTGTTATAAATCTTTATTGAACAACCATGTCTTAACATTTAGATTATTGCTCTTAGCAAGTTATTATTTTTTAATGATTAATGCTGATAAAAAATTGCAAATTGTTTTATGATTAATATACATTTGAAAATAATGGTAATTTACATTGATGGTAATAATTACCTCTCTCGTGAGGCTCAATCAAAGCTTCAGTTGATGTAATTAGCGATGTATGATGTGAAATTCAGCCCTTATGGCAAAGTCGAGTTAGAACCTACACTTTATGTGATTGTATAATTAACAAATTTAATTATACACTGGCTCCTTCCAGTGAACCATACATCTATGCATTAAGGACTAATCAACACTACTTTGTTTAGACTGACTTTCACAACAACTATCTCTAATAAAATACGCCGCAATGTAAAGTAATACAAGAATATCGATCAATGGCTTTATCTTTTACAACTTCATTACTTATGATTATTTGCAACGTTTTTAATAAAAATTATAGTACATACCAGAACATCTTTGATCTTTTTATAACTTAACATGCTACAAACTTTAAATTTGATGGCCCTTGTTGTATTTTAAATAATGTTACAAAATTGTGCTGGAAAATATTCAGAAATTTTTTAACGGAATGTATTGTGATTAATGGGAGCTTGATACAAGATAAAATCTCTTTAAATTAAATTCAATATTCATTTTTTAAAATGGAAAACATTTTACTACGGTCAGAGCAATGAAAACAAGAAAAGGGCATTTTTATAGTAATTGGAATAAAACTGATGAATATAATCTCCCCTTTCTTAATTAGTGTTCAAGTATAGGTCTACTTATTAAATTTACTTAAAATGTGTTAATTTTTTTTTTTTTTTTTTTTTCTTTTACCGCGTTAAAGGAACTGTTTGCAACATTTTTGCTTCAATGTTATCAATATTGGAAAAAACAAAAATTATTTATCTTACAAAAGAATTTATTTAAGATGCTCATGTGCACGACACTGTACATGCACTTGACTACAAAACAATTTGTCACACTTGTTATTATTTACCTCGTATGGTTGACTTTTTGCCTTCGAAATGTAAATCTATGGCTTCCTATTGCATCAAATTGATTCGTCTATTTGATATATATATATATACACACACCATGTGGCATGACAAATTTTAAATACACTAGCCGGTAATTGTAAAAGAGTTTGCATAGTTATGCTATAAAGTTTATTGGTCGATGTCAGACTTTTCTCGTCAAACTTGAGTACTCGTCAAAGTTCCCAAAACACTTTTGGACGCGTCGACAAAAGCACTCAATTTTCTCCACTCTTTCCGTTATGCACTGATTCTACACTATTTTATAAAAGTTTTTGATCGATACTTTTATTCGATTAAAACTTTATAGTACCATTTCTATTTTTTTTTTTTTTTTTCTCATGAGGACGATGAGCAGCGGCTTCTCTTTATCTCTTTCATCAACTGCTCGTTTGATTGTACTTATAAATACGGAGAAAAAACAAGAGATGGAACAAGAGGACCTTTTAGAACATTGTGTCAATATTGAATCCAGATTCAAGTGAATTGAGTAATTCTTGTGGGTTAAAATTTGGCGTGTCACCTGTTGAAGCCAAATTATCAAATATGTCAAAAGATAGGTCATTTGCGGCAACATCAGATTGTTGGTGTTGCTGTGGAGAAATCTGCTGAAGTTGTAAAGAACTACGCGCACTTGGATTGGGTACTGCAGCGTTATATCGTTGATGCGAATGTACTGGAGATCCCGCTGAAAATGCGTAGGAAGTAGTCGGTTTAGCGTGTAAGCACTAATCCATAAATAAAAATGTAAATATTGAAGAAAAAAAAAAAAAAAAAAAATTTACCAGTTCCATTGCCAGATGTTGACGAAACGATTACTGCGTTGATGGATTGTGTTTGTGACATTTCAAGTTGCATAGTCATTTGATTACCAGCTTGTTGATGCTGTTGCTGTTGCGTAATGGTAATTTGCTGTGGCATCGGACAATTATTTATTCCAGCGTTAGTTAACGTTCCATTACCTCTTAGTACTTGCTGTTGATGTTGCATTTGGGATGCATTCATTTGAATACCACCACTTGTTCCGCTCATTCCAAAATTTCCTACGAGGCATTTTTTCACACCCAAATTGTTACTACTGTCAAACTTGATGATTCAATAACTCAATCGTAAAAAAATGAACTTAATTCAACGTTATTTCAACTTATTAGAAACTTGCCAAGCAGTGTCTTTTATTTTTAAAAACCTTTATGAATTTTTACAAATTTTAAAAAAACTTTTGGAAAATGGTGTTGAATCAAATTGACATGGTCTTGCATTTTCTCTGCTTAAAATTACATTGGGCCGCAAAATAACCCCGAAGACGATGACACGTATCCGACGAAAACTGCTATCAAGCGATTAAAAAAATGAGAGAAACATCCAATCATCGAGTCAAAGAAACTGTATGAAACTGTCTGCAAAGTTGCTGAATGAATCGTACATTCCCGTTAAAAAAAAAAAAAAGGTCAAAAAATTATAGATTATTTGTTTTACACAACACCCGCCAACGTAAGATCCAGAATATTTTAAAACTGTTTATGATTAAATTGTTTACTAATTAAAAGAATTGACATTGAGACACTACAGCTTACAAGTCATAAATACCTTGTTGTTGTTGCTGCTGCTGTTGTGAATGATGCTGCATAAAGACCTGATGCCATCTTTGTGAAGTACCACGAGATGAGACTCCATTACCAAGAGCATCTACTTGTCCAACGTTCACGTTTGGAGGCCGTTGATGGTTTGTTCTTGGATATCCTATTCTTTGTTGCATTGGGTGTAGGCCTCCTATCGTGTTTACGTTTCCAGTGGTATTTATGCTTACCGGCGACCTTATTCCAATGCCCACACCTGCATTGGCATTACTCATGTATAAAGAATTTGTTCCAGCATGCATTGCCGACTGCTGTACTACTTGTTGGGGTCTCATCATTGGGCCTAAAATATTTTTTGTATAAATACAACGATTAAATAATAAAAGAAAAAAATGATTTACCAGAGGGAGGTATTGGTTGCTGCTGATTGATTCTGCGAATGGGATTTGAGTTTCCGAATTTTACCGACTGCCCTATACTGTTAATGTTTGCGTGCATTATTTGCGCTTGAGCTGCCTTGTATTCCGGTGGAGGTGGTCTAATAATTCCTGCAGCCATGTGCTGTTGTTGTTGTTGTAGAGACTGACACATTCGTAATGACGTTGCATAAAAAATTTTTAAAAGTAAAAAAAAAAAAATAATTTTTAAGCGATGAATTTGTACCTGTGTTCGCAACAATTGCTGTTGCTGCTGAAACATTTTAATTTGTTGCTCTGAAAGCTGCGCTCCAGCAAGAGAGGTCTGTTGTTGCTGCTGCTGATTCATTGATTGCTGCTGCTGATTAGTATGAGTTCTATGTTGTTGAGCTTGTTGTTGTGACTGCTGTGACTGTGCAGCAGTAGGAGTCGTCGCGGAATTTCCCGAACCAGATGCTGCAGTTGCCCGCTGCCTCAAATTTTGTTGCGTAAAATTTATCGTTTGTGTCTGTGAAACCGTGCAATATGTATCATTTTGGTTTCCAGGAATTCCTTGTGCATTCTGCTGTTGCTGTTCCGTCTGAGCTTGTTGTGGCTGCTGTTGCTGTTGGTGTTGATGATGATGTTGTTGGTTGAAATACATACCTTGCTGAGTGGCAACTGATACGATATTTGGTTTTAAATCACCAGTAAGTTGCATATGTTGTCCAGCTGATACCTGTTGAAAAAAAAAAAAATCCTCTTGTACAGTGAATGATTCAATTGATTATTTAAGGATCGAGGATACATTAAAAGTCAATAATCTTACTTGAATCTGGTGAGTAGGATTATTGATGTGCAACTGCTGCGCTTGATTTATCTGAATGTTTGGAGCAGACGTGCCTGAGCCCGAAGAGGGCCGTGGAGGAGTCGAGCTGCTATAGCCTCCCTGAGGAGTTGGACCTTGATTCGGTGCTTGTGCTTGCGAAATTCTCGGTGGAAGAGCATAGCTCGGACTGCCGTGATTTGGCATTGAGCTCGGGCTTCCATATGGTGAATACTGCTGCTGCTGTTGTTGCTTGTACGTTGTAGGCCCGTTCGGACCCATTGATGATTTAGTGCTCTGCTGCTGTTGCTGCTGCTGCTGCTGCTTTTGTTGACCAGCTGTGCGTTTATTTATTTCAAATTGATTGTTGGGCTGTTGATGTTGAGTAAAAACTTCCGTTTGCTGAGTTTGCTGAAAACCAACAAGTAGACTACTATTCACGCTATTGTTTTTATGATACGGTATGCCTTGTTGAGTTGTTGCTGATGCAGGTCCACCATTAGAGCTGCCCAAATAATCTGCAGAACCGCCACTAAATTGTCCAAACTCGGCGTAAGGTGAGCGTGCGTTCGAACCTCTGGCCGCAGCAGCTGCCGCGGCAGCCACCGCTGCAGCGGCTGGTGAATTGAAACCACCCATACCAAGTTGCTGGCTCTTGTGTTGGTGCTGCTCGGCCATTTGTTTCAGAGTTTGCGCAGCGGGGCTCATCTCGGATTTATAGTCCAAGCCTGGCGCAGAATAGGATAAACGTGACGATGATGATGACGGCGTCGACGACGAAGACGACGACGAATACTGTTGCGTCAGTTGACCCTGTTGCTGATGCTGATGTTGATGCATAACTTGGGGTACTTGATCCTTGTCTTCCTCGAGTTTCACGTGCACATTCTGACCATTTCCAGGAATATTGCTCTTAATGCCCATGGCACCGGTACTGCCATTATTATTATTGTTGTTGTTGGTGCTGTTTTGGCCGTTCAGACCGATACCAGTCTTTTCGTCAAAGTCTAGGTCTTTGATAAAGTCCATTTGCGGATGAAAGTCAGAGATTTCGGAAATAAGGTCCTTAAAAGCATCGTCATCAGTCGCTTCAGAGCCCATAAAGTTGTCAAAGCCTGGGAAACAAGGATCCTTCTCGAGAGCTGCTGCACACTGCTCAAGGTCAAAGTCATTGTCAGGCTCCTGTTTGCACTCTACTAGACTATTAATAATATCTGCTGCCGAGGTCGGACCGGGAGTTGTGGTCTGTTGTTGCGGCTGCTGATGGTGGTGGACAGAGCCGTTTGTAGCAGCTGCAGAAGCAGTAGGTCCAGAAGCTGGCGTTGACGAGACCCCTGTCTGTGGCTCGCTCTTTGGCGATGTCGTTGCGCTCAAGAGATCGCTTTTAACAGAGGCATTGGTCAGCGCTTTTACGGTTACGTTAGTAGAGATCTGTTGGGTTTGAGAGTTTGCAGCTGAAGTCGTAAATTCAAGTTGCTGTACAATTTCGACGGAAAATTTGGTAAGAGCTTCGGTCTGGCCGACACCGTTTCCTCCCCCTTGCTGTGGACCACCGTTACCAGCTCCCCCAAGACTGGTGTTTCCTGTCATTAATACATTTATAAAGAATGAATTTGATGGATTAACGTGCCCGATACATCAAACAAACACAACAGATTCCTTAATAACAAACCGTGGGTCGAATTGGTCGGAGGCACCTGAGATCCAGTTGTTGAACTACTAGTGCCGTTTGGCGTTGAATTGTTGCAAGCATTACTTGATTGATGTTGAACATGAGCATGATGAGAAATGCTGGTGCTCGAAGACTGCGTGCATTGTAGTTTAACTGATGGTTCGCCAAAACCTCCGTCACCATTGTTACTACCAGTCGTCTCTAATTCTTCAGCTGTTCTTTTCAAGAACTTTTGTTGCTAAAAATTTTCAAACATTATTTTTTTTTTTTTTCTGTTCCAACAAATACGTTACTTGTATTATCTTATCTATATTTAATGAGCTGATTTATCAAAATGAATATGAAATTGTTAAACAAAATCGAAAAAAAATTTTTCTCGAGCGTTTTTATTTATTTTTTTTGTTTACCTTTTAACGTTTATAGCGCTTATGGTAGGAAAAATCGAGTTTGCACCTGATGCGCATTCAACCACAGGACAAGGACAAAAAAATCCACGAGAACCTGATGGTCTTTGACATGTACCACCATGTACGAAAATACATTGTTATTATTATTGCAGATTAAACCATGAATGTTGGAGTTTGATATATACCATTTCCACCAAAGATGAGTATTTTAGTTTACTTTGTTGGATAATAAATTAGATGAAGATGAAAAAATGTTTTAAAAAAGAAAAGGAATGATATGGTTTTTTATTTTTCTACATTTATGGCGGTGAAAAGAGGAGTCAACAAGTTTTGTGTTTTGGTTCTTCAGGATAGCTAATCATTTTTACGTTTAATGTTTAAATACTAAATTATTTTTTAATTTAAGCAGTAAATAGTCATGCAAGCAAACAGATAAGGATGTTTTGAGGTCTCTACAATCACAACCGGTTTATAAGATGTAGTTATGCATTCAACATACACACATACTTTACAGGCTTATTCTGAGCAAGCCTCGAGCTCTTCCTTTCAGCAAGTTCAATTGAACTATAAGTATACTCTAACGAATGACATTCATCTACACGCAATACATTATATTGTGCGCTAACGATTTCTTAATGTAAAAGAGTCGTGCATTTTTTCAAGTTTTTCAAGTTTGAAAAGTCTTGATATTTTGCTTAACAAAAACTTGAATGATTATTATTTTAAATAAAAAATGAACATTATTGCGTGCACTTGTAAGTAGGTCGATTCCCATTTGTAATTTTTAAATAATCGAGGAGGAGGGTTTTTATACTTTTACTTTGCCAAATATTTTGCTTATGTGGCATTAAAGTTGAAATAAAAACACCGTACAAGCGAGTAGGAGAGGCAGAAAGAAGAATATCACATTCGTAGAGAATCTATACCAACATGAACGATAATAAAAAAAGTTGCACAACTGTACCTATAGCAGCAGCAGAAAAAAAAAAAAAAAAAAAAAACCAAAATAAGCAAAGTGAGCCCGATTAGGCTTTTACAGCCTGATGCTAATAAGTGTAGTGCGAGCGATGCATCGGAGGACAGTTGACAGCTGTCACACTCGCTGAGGTGATTCTTGCATAAAATATATATAAGTAGTTACTGCCACATGATGGCTCTGTCGGTAGCGTGTCTGCCTACAGATCTTGATGGCCGGGGTTCAAATCCCATTCTGGACAAAAATTTCATCATTGAATGAGGTTTTTTTCTGGATGGGAGTTGTACTTCAATAAACCTACCGATCCATCTACCGTTTCCTCCTACTGTTATTAAACCCAACGTATGGCTAAATACACTTTATGGTGTCAAAATAGCCATGTCTGAGCCCTTAAGGGGCGATGATGAATATAAAAAAAAAAAAAAAATATATAAGTAGTCACAAGTGCGCTGCGCGCAAGTCGCATGTGTGTCTCCACTATATCACTATCAGTTTCAGCTGGCGATTCAGCAAGTACCTATGTACATACATAAATACTTTAAAAAAAATGTTGGATCAATCTTGGAGTACATTCAATTTTCACAATGACCAATGTACATAATATACAAGTGACTCTCGCGGCTTAGCTGCAGCCAGCAAAGTCTACTTAGGTACCCGTACAATTGTATACGAGGCGTTGTATACAAGAAAATTAATGTACCTGCAATACCTGCATATATACAGGTACCCACACGGCGAGGAGAAGGATGGACGGATGGTTGGATGAGGCGGGGTACAGCGTAAGTATCTGCAGTATAAATACCTACAGCAAGCACGGAGAATGTATTGATTCCCAAGCCGCTGTTCTTGCAGGTGTGTGTGAGCACGTATAAAGTATATATATATATATATATATATACACATAATATGGCGTATGGAGGATCGTATGTGGTGTGGCTGTATACTTTGCACGCATATATTATTATGTAGTGTATCAGAGCGCGGACGATCGTCGACGGGACCCCAAAAAGATGCCGAAAGATCACTCATATTTACACTATACACACAATAATTATATACTTGACAACATTATGGCCATTATCTATTATCTATTTCGACTCAAAGTGCGCACACTACCGCACAATTGCCCGGTAATACATGCATATAAAAATGTATCACAATGTGTGTAAACGTAAATATATATCCTACGTTAGTTATTTCGTTATTTGGTGTCTCGTTACATCACACACCATACAAATCGCAACAACCTGCACCACAGAGAAATCTGAGATATCGACTTGTTTTACTTAATAATACTCATCAAGTATACGATTGCTTATCAATTTTTACTATTTGCTAACAGGATATACTTTTTATTTGAACGTCATTGTATTTTTGTTTGCGAAATTATACAACCATTTCATTTAAGATTTGATAAGATGTTGTGAAAACACACATAAATATAACTATGCGCTCTGCAACCACGTTGAAACGAATATAATTAAGTAGCACATAACAAAAATGTAATTCAAAGGATATTAATTATACTACAAATACGTTATTGATGCATCGAAAATACCGCTTAACAAAACATAATTTTTACTTCAATTTTGGGATATCTTATTGGAAAGTTTAAAAGATGCGAAACATCGCTGAAGTGTTTTTAGATTGATTAGTATCCAGCAGCATCTATTACCAGTTTCACGTATATTAGTTGTCAGCTGCATCATCGGCACACATATAATCTATATAGGACGCCGTTACCATCAACAATAAGAAAGAGGGAGGGAACAAGGGGAGAGTGAAAAAGAGAGGGGAAAGATCTCCCCCACCCACAACACATCTTGTTTTCCTTTTTTGTTTCTTCCTATCCATCTCACTGTAAGAGTAATACTGTACATAGGATATTTATTATTTTACTTACTTGCAAACACAAAACAACATGACTTTAATTTTATTTACAGTTTGCCATTTGGATTTGGTTAACTCGGTAGTTTGGTCGTCAATTTTTATCCTTCATCGCTCTTTAAAAGTTTTATAAATTCATTCTTAGATTCGGGAATTTAAAGTTTTTTTTCTTATTTCGTACTGTTTTGCAAATAATAAAGATTACCGTATTTTTAATGCATTTACAAAATATTTTTAATTCACAAGTAACAGTATTTGTTTTCAAGTGTTTTAAAACGAGAGAAAAATAATGGTTTTCATTCTACTCAAATCAGCATATCAATATTTCAATGAATGTGGTAAGAAAATTTTCAACAATCAAAAATACGTTTAAGGTGAGGTAAAGCATGTCTCATACGAGAAAATAAGACGACAAGAGTGTTGGAGGGCAACGAAAAAGACGAGGAATAGAAGAGAAGGGGAATTGCATAGGCAGTAGGCGCCATTACTGCGCGCAAGACCACCACCACACCGTCGTTTGGTTGCAATAACTGTTTGCTCTTTGTCCGTTCAGCTGCCTGCTTCTATACACACTCATTCTCTGTTTCTTTTCGCTTGCTCCCCCCCCCCCCTAACCCTCTAACTCGCTTTTTTTTTTCATAGAACATTTTTGACTATCTCAGGAGTTTCCATCTTATTATTATGAGATGGCATATTTGTCATACCTTCTCTTACAGTCCCCTCACCATCATTGTACAACAATAGTAATTATAGTAATGGAGGTGACAAAGAACAATATCCATCACCACAATGTAAATTTTATACAGGATCTTTTTAAAATTGTGTGTAAAGTATTCTTTGCGGATTAAAAAGCTTCATATTGAGAAATATTATTATCTAAAATTTCGAAAAGAACAATAAATAAATTTAAATCATATAAGATATTTGATTAATATTTCGTCTGACATCAAATTGTCGTTTTTTCAAATCTTTAGGTGAAATAATTTTTGTAGATGAAGTGTTGTATAAGATAATATATATAAATGGTGAAAAATTGTTCGGAATCACTAATTACGGACGTTTAAAGCTAAAGTCAAAACGAGCATATCGAAGAATCAGAGCTGAAAGAGAAGCCAAGTATCACACAATATACTCAATAACTGACTCAACTGAAAACGAAGTAGAGCGCGGATCAGAGCGGGGAAAGCATGGTAAAGAAGAGAAAAGTGCTGGGTGTGGTGGGGAAAGGGGAAAGGAAAGGAGATGGGACATAGAGAGAGAGAGAGAGAGAGAGAGAGAGGGAGTTGGAGTAGGTGGCAACAGCGCTGTTACATCCACACTACCCAATACCGCTTGCGATGTAGGTATCTCTGCGGTGTACGTTTTATTAGTTTGCTGCTCCCTTCTAAACTTTGTTAATCGTCCTCACCAAGGCGCAACATCAGCGTTTATAAAATATTGAGAAAATGATTCGATGGTATGGACCGTGATATGATAAGATAAAAAAATACCGGGTAGTTTGGTAGATGGATGAACATGAGTTTGGATATTATGTCCATAATTACTTACCACATGAACATTGGATGAAGCACCTAGATTTTCGTTCTGTTTTTTTTCATTTTTCTTTGGTTGTCTCTTATTTTTGTCTCTATCCAAAAAGCGCTGCTTGAGTAACAATGTGTCGTGATTATTTTGCTCGCAGAGACCATGAAAGCTTTGATCAAACTTGGGCACAAGATCGGTTTGTCTACGCCTGTAAGATTCAATTCTGCGACGAAGTCGATCGACAACAGCCTGTCTGCCTGCCTGCCTAAGCGGCAGTGCTTCACCCATCCCAGGTGCCTGACCCATTTGTTGCAGCTGTTGCTGCTGATGAGTTAGCTGCAACTGTTGCTGCTGTAAAGCACCGATATCTTGATGTAGCTGTACTTGTCCAACAATAGATTGTTGCTGTTGTTGTAAAGTTGCTAAGTTGTTTCTTGGCTGCAGCTGCTGAGAAGTTGCTTGGGCAATGGAGCCAGGGGGGCCTTGCTGGGGCTGGCAGGGCAGGAGCCCCCCTGCCTCCATACAGCTCCCGAAATCCACTGCAGAATAAGCCAGTTCACTCCAAGAGTCGTAAAGTTCGTCTTTTCTTTGTCCTCTTTTGTTTTTCGCTTCTTGGAGCTACCTCCTTGCATCCTAATTTCATTTCACTTTAGGCTAATACTTTGAATCAGCAAATTTTGATTTCTTGCTCCAAAAAGACCTCAAATATTATTCTGAAAAGAACCAATAATGGTTAAAATGAATCACTATAAAATGCGATGGTGATAATATTTTTGATTTGGTCACGTCACCAAACAAAGGAAAAATAAGAATGTAACGTTTGCACGTAAGTAAAATTAAACAAAAAAATTATTCTGTACTTACTGCTTAAACGTGTATAGTAGTACCCAACGTCAGTGTATAGAGAAAAAATCGAGCGCTGAAGGAGACGTGGTATATAATTGCCTGTTGCTGGATTACGAGCAAACAATTACATAACCTCACTTTTTTGTTGGTAATACTTGATTAATCAACACTTTGTAGATATTGCTAAACAATAACGACTTTGTGTCATAAAACACTTGATAGTATTAATCTTGGTGCACCAAACGTGTGAAACTAATCATTCGGACAAACGTCTAATCTGTAGAATAATTATTTAAGTACCCTTGAATTATTCAAGCTTTTTTAATATTTTATTTAAATTGATTTATTTCATGAAATAAAAAACTTATGCCACAACTTGTTTGAAATGTCTTTCAAGATTCTCCATTTCTTTTAATCAAATGAAAATGTAAACTTTTTTTTACCATTACCATTGAAAGGTTTAATTATATATATATATAAATTTTGGATATATTATACAAG